CCCTCCCTCCCCCCTCCCCAACCCAAAACCCACTGCAACACAGCTATTCTCCACCAGTAGCACCATGGTCGCCCAAATCTGAAGACACCCCAGATTGAGCAACTTTTAATGAGAAATTTCTTTTCCACCTCTCTCCTTTTTCTTCCCAACTACTGAAGACAATCTTTTGCAAGGAAAAAAAATAGAAAAAGTGAAAGAAGATTGCCAGCAAAATTCTTTTATGGTAAGTTTTTCGCTAGAGGAATCTCAAATAATTTTGGGTGGAGTTTGCGGCGATGATTTTTTTGGCGAGTCATTTCTAGTTGATAATTTTTATGGGTGATTGTTAGTGCTATGATGGAATGCGGCTGTGAAAAAGCTTTTTAGGTAAAGGGTGATCGAAGAGGGATCACAGCCATTGGGGGTGAGGCAAATTTTAAGAGTTGTGTTCTAAAAATAAAGGAGTGAAAGAGTGGTCATCGATGGGACCATTTTGATGTTATTGAGGTTGCCATTTTGGACTCTGAATAGTAGAATTTTCATGAAGATTATTTTATTAAAATCTTAAATTGCAGGTACATAATGATGTGGCTAAGTACAAAGAATTCTATGAATTCATTATCGAAACATTATTCCTTATAGGCTATTTTGAAGTGGTGGTAAAGGTTCGGTGAATGGTGGAGAATAAGGAAGGAGGAAGATAGAGAGGATGGTGAGATGGAAAAAAAGACATATTAAGTTTTTAAAATAATATAAAAAAATTAATTATTAATGATGTATTATAGAAAATTTGATGTGGGCATTGATGTGTCATCCATGTCAGGCTTTTGAAGAACATATGAGGTCAAAAGGGTTTATGTAACAACCCGATCGTTCGTTTTGAGCATTTACGTTCCTTTTAACTATTTGAAATCTTGAATAATTTCCTACGAGGTATTATGACTTGTGTGAATTGTTGGTTTTAATTTTAAGGTATTTCGGAGTTAGCTTGGAAGAATGAATTTTCAGGTTGGAAGTTTAAGTTAAAATAGTTGACCAAATTTTGATTTATGTGTTAACGACCTTGGAATTTAATTTTGATGATTGTAATAGCTTCGTATGGTGATTTGAACTTAGGAGCATATACGAAAAATTATTTGGAGGTCCGTAGTGGAGTTAGGCAGAATTGAAATGCCGAAAGTTAAATTTTGGGATGTTTGATCGGGGGGTTGACTTTTTGATATCGAGGTCGAAATCTGATTCTGGAAACTTGAATAGTTTCGCTATGTCATTTATGACTTATGTGCAAAATTTGAAGTCATTCCAGATTGATTTGATATGTTTCGGCACATGATATAGAATTTAAAAGTTCAAAGTTCATAGATTTTGATTTGAGGTGCGATTCATCGTTTTGATATTATTCGATATGATTTGAGGCCTCGAGTAGGTCCGTGTTATGTTATGAAAAGTATTGGTATATTTGGTTGAGGTCCCGAGGGCTTGGGTGTATTTTTGGATCATTGGTTGAGAGATTTATAAAGTTAAGAAATTTGGGAGTTTGGACATGGTCAATATCGGATCAAGATGACCTCTTTTCAGTATTTTAAGTGCGCGAGCAGTTCCGTAGCATATTTTATGATTGATATTCATATATGGTTTGTGTCCGAGAGATTCCGGATGAGATTTGGGGTGAGTTTTGAACGAGTCCGGACATTTTGGCACTCTAATATTGTACTGGCATTTTTGGGGGCGCGGACCGCACATAAAAGTGCGGACAGCAGAAGAATTTCGCGACTGCGCTCAAATTTTCGCGGACCGCGCAATTCTGTCTGCTGCCGCGCTCCAGGAAGTTAAGCAGATCCGCTGGTCCGACTTCGGAAGCCTATATCTTTTGATCTACAAAAAATTTTGAGATGATTCAAAAATAAAAGTTGTAGCGCTTCGTGTCTAGGTTCCAGAAAGGTAAACAATTCATCATTCAGACATATGTAGGGAAAGTTATGGCAAAATACCAAATCCTAGAAGTGTAGCCAAAAGATTTTCGCGGACCGCACCATTTGTTCGCGACCGCGGGACCTGGGGCGCGACCGCGCTTGGAATTTCGCTGACCGCAAAATTGGAGTTCAGAGGATGTACTATATATGTGAGGTTTAGGGTATTATTTCATATTTTGGACCTAGGAAGCTCGGTTTGTGGCGATATTTCATTGGTTTTTCAAGANGATGCACTATATATCCGAGGTTTAGGGTATTATTTCATATTTTGGACCTAGGGAGCTCGGTTTGTGGCGATTTTTTATTGATTTTTCAAGATATTCATCGGGGTAAGTGATTCTAACTCGAACTTGGTTAATATACATGAATATATTAATGATTTCATCATTTGATTAGTACTCTGAGGTGAAAATTTGGGAAAGATTGTAGAAACTTCATAAAATAAATTTTCGAGATTTGAACACCGATTCGGAGTCGGATTTGAGCGAAATTAGTATGGTTGAACTCGTAATTGGATGGGTTGTCGGATTTTGTGAATTTTGTCAGATTCTGAGATATGGGCCTCACGAGTGATTTTTGGGGCATAATTTTGGATTTTTGAAAAATATTAGTATTTTCTTATGAAATTAATTCCAATGAATATTATTCACCGAAACGAATTAATTGTGACTAGATTCGAGGCATTCAGAGGCCGATTTGCGAGGCAAGGGCATAGCAGAGTAAATAGTTTCACAATCTGAGGTAAGTAACACTTCTAAACTTGGTTCTGAGGGTATGAATTCCCGAATTTGGTATGATATGAATTGTTGAAGGTAACACACACGATAGGTGACGAACATGTAGACGTGCACCGCAAAAATTATGTCTTGAATAAATCCCGTGAAGTTATAAAAATTAAAGAATCATGTTATTATCTGAACATGTGGCACGTGTTAGAGGAATTGAGCTGAGGCTTGTGATAAAGATCGTGTTTAGGTTACGTGCCGATATTTTAGGACCCATGGGGTCGTGTTGTTGTTGAATTAATTATTTAAAAATATATATATTTCACATTCAGTAATAATTGTCCATTGTGAGGATATTTATGGGATTGAGCTGCGCAACGCAGCATGCCATATTGGCTTTATATATGTTATTATTGT